GGATGGGTAGCAGGAGTGGGATGTGACTGGTCAACAGGCTGAGAGTGTGTGAGATATTATTCCGTTCACGTCTGTGTCTCAAAGCTTGCTGGGGACGCAGATGGACTTGTTCAAGTCCCGAGCAAGGACTGTGAAATCCTTTGTGTGAAGGACACAGATGAACAAAGTCCAGGCAAGTCCTGGGCAAAGGTTGTGAGATCCTTTGTCTGGGGGACGTAGATGGGCAAGGCCAGGGGCAACAAGAGCGAGATGAGCTGCAGCTAAATAGCTGTGAAGTCCTCCTTTGTGTGGACTTATCTCCGGATGATGGCCATCTCAGGGGGTACTCAATGACTCTTGCTCAAGGCCCATCCTTGTCACGTAGGCAGGAGAACAAGGAGGATAAAAGAGGAACTGAAAACCATGAGGATAGGTTTCTGACAACAGATTGCTCATGAAGAACGGAGGATTTCTGGCAGCAGATTCCTCCTGAAGAAGAAGAGGGATTCCTGAGGATCAGATTCCTCGTGAGGTGACTCCTGCATACTGTCGAACTCCCCTGTGCTTGCTGCCTGAGCGCTGCTGCAGCTTCAAGAATTGGCTCCTCGACTTCTTCGTCTACCTGCTTGCTGCCCAAGGCCGGCCACGGTGCTTCTCGCCCCGTCCCCCTGCTGCGTTCTGCCCGGGACCTTCAAACGCCGTGCAACGGGACGCTGCTGGATCCTGCTGGTGACTCTCCCCGCTTTACGCAACTCCTGCTTCTTTTCCATCTTTTCTGTCGCCCTCCTTCCCTTCCCCGTCTCCCTGATTAGGTTTGGTAATAAACTGGTCGGTACAACATATGAACCGTTGTTTCTTAATCTCACGCCGGGTATACAGATATTAAAAGAACCTCATCTCCCTCCTATAAATTGGAGCGAGACATTTTTATTGGCGTAGTCGGTGCAGGATACCCGCTGTGAGAGTGTTGTCCTTCCAGATATAGTTTGAAACTTTTTTTTTCTGTGTGCACCTCCTGCAGTTGCAAGGAGCGATATTTTTTGAAAACTTAGACGTGAGTCCTTCTCCAGGAAGACCGCTCCATATTCTGAAACTTTACCTTTTATGTGTGTACCTCTCGGGGACGTATTTTGGCCATTTGCATTTTGATTAATACCTGTGTGCCTCCTCGGGAAGATTTCTCTGGTTATTTGGTGACTGAAGTGCGAAACTTGAAGTGATATTTTGTGACTTAAACGTTTGTGCCTCTCCAAGAAGTTTTATTTACTCTATTGAAACCTAGAAAGTGTTGCTTTAGCGTCACATTTTTTGTGCTCCCCCCATAGAAAGGGAGGAGTGATTGGAGCATTTGCATTTGTTTAGGTGTGGTGTATCTCCCTGGGAGGAGCGGTAAGGAGTAACTGAGCTTTTGAACACGTGTACCTCCTCCTCCCTTAGTGTAGATCTTTCATTGTATTAAGAAATGAGTAACAGTATTGCCAGTATGAAAAGTGAAGATGTGTTATTTGACCTTTTAGAAAAGCATGGTGCTCGTCCCTCTTTGTCAGGGGTGGACTGGGCACGCCAAAATTGGCATAATTTGCAGAGTGTTTCGGACCGCATTAGTGCCTTACAGAATGAGGCTCGTACACGAGCTGGAAAAGGAAAGTCGTTTATTTGTGCCGTACTCGGGGCTGCTTTAAAAGCTGCCGTGAAGTTCCGAAATGAAAAGCATTCGGCAGAACTCCAAACCATAGAAGCACTACAGGAATCGGTTAGAGTTACACAAGAATTGGTAAAAGCTCTGCAGAATCAAATAGTTAATCTCGAGGAACAATTAGAAAGAGAGAAACATAATTCGGCCTTGTTGCAGATGGCTGAAAGGAACTGTTAACACGTAAAGATACTAGCATATTGTCACCCATAGGTTGCCTCAAGAAAAAACTTTTCCTCAGGAGGAACTACAAGAAATAAAGGAAAGACTAGACAAATTAGAAACCCCAATAGCCCCATTGCGTCCCTTGATAACAACAGAATATACCTTCGATAACAGTGAGGATCTAGATCCTCAAATGAATGTTAAGGAAATTCCGTTCTCGGCCACCGAACTAGCAAAACTCAAAAAGGACTTCAGCCGCTCTCCAGAGGAATCAGAAACAGAATATGTATGGAGGGTGAGTCTCACTGGTGGCGACCAGATTCGGTTAACAGAAAAGGAAGCAGAAGGTTATTGGGGACCAGGAGTATTTTTAACTACTGGTAACAATCGTGCTCCCTGGTCCTTAACGCAAAGGGCTGCCTATTGGGCAGGTGGTCTCAACTCTTTAGAACGGGGAGACCCTCTTGCCATTACTGGAACTACTGACCAATTAGTAGAGAGCGTTCAAAAGGCTGCTTGTCTCCAACTGATGTATGATAGAAAGCTGCAGCCGCATCATGAATCGCCCATGATGATGCCTGTTGATCCTGAGAGAATGACCCCTTTAATTAGAGGGCTTCCGGAGTCACTGAAACCCATAGGCGTACAATTACAAGCAAGGATACAAGCTATGTCACAGGGAGAAAGAACCCGGGCAGTGTTAGAAGAAACTGTAACCCCCAACCATCTGCAGTCAGGATGCAAAGTATGGACGTGGGGGGGAGGTAGCCCAAGAGTTAATTAACTATGGAAGAAAATATGGGCCGGTGGTTTCTTTTCCCAGTAAATCTGAGCCCAGAGGTGTAAGGCTTGCAGCAGCCAGTCTTGCCCCCAGGCCACCTTGCCCAAAGCTCAGTGGGTCTGGAAGGGTCTCATTGCCAGTAAAATCCGGTAGGCGGAATATCTTTCATAAACATAATGGACTTTGGACTCTAGGCTGGAAAAAGGGTATTCCACGAAATTTGATGGATGGATTGACAACAGATAGGTTAGAGAAATTAGTTAACTGGTGGCCAGAACAAAAGCTCGAGAATCTTGAGGAAAGCAAAACCCCAGGTCCTAGGGCCTCTCTCAGGGAACCTGAACGGCTATCCAAGCCATTAGAAAACTGATGTCTCCACCCCTCCCAAGTGAGCGCGGTGAGGGCGGTGAAGGGTGGATGTGTTAGAAAGCTCACAACAAAGGGGAAACACTTATCGCCTGGGTCAGCCTGTGTCGATTGGTTCAGCTAACCTGAGGCTTGTTTCCCTAACCTTAACGGGATACCTTAACAAATATCCTTGGAAGGTCAAGGACACCATGAAAAAGGAATATAAAATTAACACTTGCTGGAGTTCCCTCATTTGTTAACCATATTAACAAAGCCCAAAAAAAAGGGCAAGACGGTGTCTCGTTTTATTTTTTCAGAATACTCCTATGGACCTTGACTGAACACAGAAAGGACTCTAACGTTTTGTGACAGAAATATTGAAAATGTGATCATGTTAGAATACTGAATATACCTCTTGATTACATTTTGTGTTTTGGTTGCAAAAGTACTATGTTGTGTGTTGTTGTGGGTAGTAATGTTGTATCTCGATTTGTTGTATTTATTTGTTACTGGTTATTGCCAAATGTATGGTTGCCTCTTTTCACTTTCTACTTTTCATTCATCATGTAACATTGGTGTCACCACTCCCGAGGTATCACCGAGTGGTGTCTGTGGCAAATTGATATTGTGTGTTGTTGCAACTCTTACGTTTGTACCGTGTATGATTCCATGGTTTACTCCATTTATACAACGTGTTGTATCTTCCATGTGTTTTGTAACTACTTCAACTGATGATGGACAAGTCCAACAGATCAGGGCAACATTTGTAACCAAGCCCAAGAAATCGTTTGTAGTAATTGTGTAACGATTGTCTTCCCCTTCTCCCCTTCCTCCTTCCCCCCCCCCTGCTTCTTTGCTGTCTTTTTGTTTTCTCCCTTTTCTTTTCCTCACCACCGTGGAGGGTCACTTGTGCTTTATTTCAAGCAATCTTTGAGCCACGGGGTGGTGTGAGAATCCTTCTTTGTTTTTTTTTTTGGCTCAAAGCTTTCTTCCTGACGTTTTTCTTGTGATAAGACTCTGAGTGACTTGTCAAGGAGGCAACTGATGGGTGCTAACTGTGTGACAATCGATATCGCTTTGGGAACATTTGCAAGCCCCTTCCCCCAGAGCTGCTTGCTCTGTAGAAGAGCGGAAGAGAGTGCTCAGCAGTGTTCACTGGCGGAAGATCTGGCCTGTGGCCAAACCGCTCCAGCTTGGTATGAGAGGCTGGGGATGATACCATTGTATTCTGCGAAGGCAAGATGCAAGTTGGTGCCTCCCTGCTTCCTCTTATCTGCTGGCAAGGCCAGAAAGATAAGAACAAAGGAGGTTCCTGCTGAGATCCCAGAGCCAGAAGCTGCCACCGCAAGGAGAACTGACTCAACCACCTTGGGTTTGAGCTGTCACTCAAAGGAGAGCTGACTCAACCACTTTGAAGCATTGAAAAAGGGCCATCATCACCATGGTCGTGGTCGTCGTTGTCAACAGAACAACTCTGCCTGACGACCCACCACTACTGAAGATCAAAAACTGAACTACGAACCTCGCTGGATCCATGGTGGTGACTATGTCCCTCTTGCTTCCTATAAAGACTCCTTGCTTCTTCTTTTCTATCTTTTCTATCGCCCTCCTTCCCTTCCTCATTACCCTAATTCATAATAGTGTCCATCCTCCCCTTCCCCCATTTCCCTGATTAAGATTTGTAATAAACTGGTTGGACCAACATTTGAACCGTTGCTTCTTAATCTCACACCGGGTATAGAGATAATAAAAGAACCTCCTCTCCCTCCTATAAATTGGAGCGAGACAGAGTGGTGCTGCTGTGGTGTGACAATAGAAATGGCAGTCTGTC